TTCATAGATGAACGGATTGGTGGTTGCCAGAGGCAGGGAGAGCAGAGGAGAGGGGACAAGAGGGGGTCACTGCTAAGAGAATAAAAAGACAAGCCACAGACTAGGAAAAAAAATCAAACATTTGATAAATGACTTATACCAAGAATATACAAAGAATCTTCAATAAGAAAACAAACAACCCAATTTAAAAATGAGCAAAATATTTGAACAGACACCTTACCAAATAATAGACACAAATGGCAAATAAGCCCATTAAAAGATGCTCAACATCATTAATCATCAGGGAAATGCAAATTAAAAGTACAATGAGAGACCACTACATACCTTTTAAAATGGCTAAAATGTACAAAGACAACCATACCAAGTATTGGTGAGGATGTGAAGCAGCTAAATCTCTCCTACGCTTACAGTGGGAATATAAAATAGTATATCTGCTTTGGAAAACAGTTTGGCAGTTTCTTAAAAAGTTAAATATTTGCCAGGGCGCCTGGGTGGCTCAGTTGTTGGGCGTCTGCCTTCGGCTCAGGTCACGTTCCCAGGGTCCTGGGATCGAGCCCCGCTATCGGGCTCCCTGCTCAGCGGGAAGCCTGCTTCTCCCTCTCCCACTCCCCCTGCTTGTGTTCCCTCTCTCACTGTGCCTCTCTCTGTCAAATAAATAATAAAATCTTTAAAAAAAAAGTTAAATATTTGCCTACCATGTAACCCATACATTCTATTCATAAGAATTTATCCAAGAGAAACGAAAGCCCATGTCCACACAAAGACCTGTACACTGATGTTCACATTAGCTCAATCTGTAACAGCCAAAAACAAACAACCCAAATGTCCATCAACAGGTGAATGGATAAACTGTTATCCCTCCAGAAAAAGTGTGTGTTTGTGGGTGAAATGGCTGCGCAGGTCGGAGCGGTGCGCGTAGTACGGGCGGTGGCGGCGCAGGAGGAGCCGGACAAAGAAGGGAAGGAGAAACCCCCTGCTGGGGTCTCGCCGCGGGGGGTGAGGCGGCAGCGCCGAGCGAGCAGTGGGGGGTCTCAGGAGAAGCGGGGGCGGCCGAGCCGGGACCCCCCTCTCGCTCCCCCTCACCGGCGGCGTCGCTGCCGCCAACGAATGCGGCCCCAACCGTCCCAGGCCCTGTCGAGCCTCTGCTCCTGCCGCCTCCGCCGCCACCTTCGCTGGCACCGGCCGGGCCCGCTGTCGCTGCCCCGCTCCCGGCCCCAGGCGCCTCGGCCCTCTTCACCTTCTCTCCCCTGACGGCGAGCGCGGCCGGGCCCAAGCATAAGGGCCACAAGGAGCGGCACAAGCACCATCACCACCGCGGCTCCGATGGTGACCCCAGCTCCTGCGTTCCGGGCGATTTCAAGCACAAGGACAAGCAGGAAAACGGCGAGAGGACTGGAGGGGTGCCTCTGATCAAGGCCCCCAAGAGAGAAACACCAGATGAAAATGGTAAAACCCAGAGAGCTGATGATTTTGTCTTGAGGAAAACAAAGAAGAAAAAGAAAAAGAAACACCGAGAAGATATGCGAGGAAGACGCCTTAAAATGTACAGTAAGGAAGTACAAACCGTCTGTGCTGGCCTGACCCGCATCGGTAAGGAAATCCTCACCCAAGGACAAATAAATAGCACTTCAGGAGTTAATAAGGAGTCCTTCAGGTATCGGAAAGATGAACAGCTGTGCCGATTAAATTTGGGCATGCAAGCATATCGGGTACCCCAGGGAGTACAAACACCTTTTATGACTCACCAGAACATTGTATTTGTAGAAATTTCTTAAAAACAGGTACTAAATTTAGCAACTTTATTCACGAGGAACACCAGTCCAATGGTGGTGCGCTTGTCCTTCATGCTTACATGCATGAACTCTCATTTTTGTCTCCAGTGGAGATGGAGAGATTTTCTGAGGAGTTTCTTGCTTTGACATGCAGTGAAAATGAGAAAAATGCTGCTTACTATGCTTTAGCAATAGTGCCTGGAGCGGCTGCTTATCTCCCAGACTTCTTGGACTACTTTGCTTTTAATTTCCCAACACCCTGTGAAAATGGAGATTCTGGGCAAGAAAGATATCAAAACAATCACCATTTCAAATTTTCACACTCAGGTCAACAGGACATACTGCTGTAGCACCTACCGAGCAGGTCCCATGCGGCAGATAAGTCTTGTTGGAGCAGTAGATGAAGAAGTTGGTGATTATTTCCCAGAGTTCCTTGATATGTTAGAAGAATCACCATTTCTGAAAATGACTTTGCCCTGGGGTACGCTTTCCAGCCTACGCTTTCCAGCCTCCAACTCCAGTGTAGGTCCCAGAGTGATGATGGGCCGATCATGTGGGTAAGGCCAGGAGAGCAGATGATCCCTACAGCAGATATGCCAAAGTCACCCTTCAAAAGACAACGATCAATGAATGAAATTAAAAATCTCCAGTACCTACCTCGGACCAGTGAACCCCGTGAAGTCCTCTTTGAAGATAGGACAAGAGCTCATGCCTACCATGTAGGTCAGGGGTTTGACTGGCAGAGTACAGCTGCTGTTGGGGTTTTGAAAGCTGTGCAGTTTGGTGAATGGAGTGACCAACCTCGCATAACCAAAGATGTGATTTGTTTTCATGCTGAGGATTTTACTGATGTTGTACAGAGACTTCAGTTAGACCTTCGTGAACCTCCGGTTTCCCAGTGTGTACAGTGGGTGGATGAAGCTAAACTAAACCAAATGAGGCGGGAAGGCATTCGTTACGCTAGAATTCAGCTGTGTGACAATGATATTTACTTCATCCCTAGAAATGTCATTCATCAGTTCAAAACAGCGTCAGCAGTGTGCAGCTTAGCTTGGCATATAAGGCTTAAACAGTACCACCCTGTTGTGGAAGCCACTCAAAACACAGAAAGCAGTTCTACCATGGACTGTGATTTAACTGGAAAGCAGGAATTAGAAGTTGACTCCCAGTGTGTGAGGGTAAAAACTGAATCTGAGGAAACATGCAGAGAGATGCAGCTTTTGACAACTGCTTCATCGTCCTTCCCTTCATCCGAACTTAAACTACAGCAAGATCAGATGACTCAGCCTGTTCCAGTTTTAAAGGTGGAAAGTAGACTGGACTCTGACCAGCAACACAATCTACAGGAACATTCGAGCACTCCTGTATGATATGTACATATTCAAACACATTTTTTAACTTTTTTAAATTTTGATGTGAAGTTATAGTTTTATAACTGGCTTAAGTTAAGTTTTATTGGAGAAATCTTGCCTATAATTCTATAAAGAGAAATGACATTCCACAAATGTCAAGCATATCTTTTTTACACAGATTATGCAAAGTTAAGAGTTGTATCTTATCCCGTTAGTACAGTATGTAATAGTGGGTCTGCTGCTACTTTCTGTTTTAAGGTGTGAGGTAACAATTCAATCTCTTCTTCAAATCAAACAGAATTCTCTGGAATAACAGATTCTTATTTGGTAAATTATTCACTTCCCTTAATTTTATCTTGCCTGTCTCTTGCCATATTTGCTGTTTTATGATAGAAGATCAGATTTATGCTTTGGTACTTGTGTCTTTATGGCACGGATTCAGTTTCTACAGTTAGAATGGCAAAAGTTGCAGGAAGGAGTTCTTGCATCTTGTTCATGGGCAAGTAAGTTCCAACCCAAAGAACAGGTAGTTTCTAAGGAAAATTCAGTGGCTCTCTGGTTTCTTAACAAAAGAGAAAGCACAGCACTTTCTGATCCAAACTGTCTTTTTTGTATCTGTTATTTAAAGCCCAGTGGATATTCCAATTAAAAATATCTAAAGATGGAAAAAAAAAACTGTTATCCATCCATACAATGGAATGCTACTTAACAATAAAATCAATGGATTCATGCAACAATGTTGCTGACCTTCAAAATAATTATGCTGAGTGAAAGAAGTCAGACAAAAATAGCACATAATGCCTGATTCCATTTACTTAAAATTCTAGGAAATGCGTATCAATCTCTAGTGACAGAAAACAGATCAGTGCTTGCCTTGGGCTGGGGAGGGCAGGAGGAAAGGATTACCAAGGGGCAAGGGGAAACTTTTGGGAGTGATGGATATGTTCATTACCTTGACTGAAATGATGGCGTCACAGGTATGTACATATGTCAAAATTTATCAGACTGTACACTTTATTTTTTTTTAAGATTTTATTTATTTATTTGACAGAGACAGCAAGAGAGCACAAGCAGGGGGAACAATAGAGGGAGAGGGAGAAGCAGGGCTCGATCCCAAGACCCTGGGATCAGGACCCCCGCCGAAGACAGACACCCCACCATCTGAGCCACCCAGGCACCCCCAGATTGTACACTTTAAATATGTAGTTTATTGTAGGTCAATTCCCCCTCAAAAAAAGCTGTTAAAAACGGAAGAGATAAAATATTTATAACACATGTATAGGATATAACAATAATGAAACAACAGAACACTCCCGTATCCATCACCCAGTTTGAAAAAGTAAATGTTACCAGGGCCACCTGGGGGGCTTAGTGGCTAAGGGTCTGATTTGATTTCAGCTCAGGTCATGATCTCAGGGTTGTGGGATCCAGCCCAGCCCAGGACTCCCCACTCCAGGGAGTCCAATTGAGATTTTCTCTCCCTCTGCCCCTCCCCCTGCTCGTGCTCTCTAAATAAATAAAATCCCTTAAAAAGAAAAAGAAAAAAGTCAATGTTACTATTATTTTTTAAAATTTCTGTGTTCCCTAACCAACGCTAAAGCCAAGGCTTTTTTGTTAAAAACAGATGAATGCTTGAAACTATTTTCTGTATACTTCAGGTTTTTATGTTCCCAAAGATGAATATTCTGCGGACGATTTTTATCTGAATTAGATGACTAACGTAGCAGTCCCGCACAGTTTGAAGTTGAAACTTGCCCTTTAAAAAACAGGCGGGCCAAAACGGTGGCTCAAAAATAACCCTGTTGAGTTAGGAACTCTCCGGAGAGCCTCAGCCAAGAATGTAAAAGGGGTAAATTCTTACTGTGGCCAGGCAATCGTGTCTATTCACTCCCTCTTTTAAAAAACGGCGACGAGTAAGGAGAGGGACCAACGGGTAAGCAGGAGGGCGACACTTGGCAGCAGGCTTGTGGTACGGTTTTAGCAGGCTCCGACCACAGTCTGGTTTCTTTGCAGATATCTATGGGAGACCTGGAGAGGGCGGATGTGCGCCGTGCATATAAAACTGCAGCCGGGGCTCGACGGGAAGCCTGCTTCTCTTTCTCCCACTCCCTCTGCTTGTGTTCGCGCTCTCGCTGTGTCTCTCTGTCAAATAAAATCTTAAAAAAAAAAAAAAAAAAAAAAAAAAACTGCAGCTGGAAACTCACAGTATTTCCCAAACAAACCCAGAGAGGGAGAAGCTAGAACTGCTGTGGAATAAGGGACTGTAATCAACTTTCCTTCTAAGGGAAGCTGGGAACCTTCTCCCTTTGCTTCGTGAAAACTAAGCCGAATCTTTTGCCAAACGCCTATAAATTAGGCAAGATGGCCCCTGATTTGACTTCAGCTGCGTCTCTCTCCCAGCCAGTTCTCTCCTCTGCAGCTGATTGGCTCTGGAGTGTGGCTCGAACTCTACCTTCTGTAACAAAAGAGTCCAGGGCTAACGGGTCGATGTTTCGCCTGAATGATGGCGCTTACCATTTTTATCCTCAGGCTATTCGTCTGCATCCTGGCATTTCCCTTATTCCTGCTTAACACTCTAGGCTTGTGGAACCAGATATGCAAAAAATGGTTCCCCTACTTCATGCTGAGGTTCACCGTGAGGTACAACGAGCAGATGGCAAGCAAGAAGCGGGAGCTCTTCAGCAACCTGCAGGACTTCGTGGGCCCCTCCGGGAAACTCTCCCTGCTGGAGCTAGGCTGCGGCACCGGGGCCAACTTCAAGTTCTACCCGCCCGGATGCAGCGTGACTTGTAGTGACCCCAACCCCAACTTTGAGAAGTTCTTGATCAAGAGCATGGCGGAAAACCGACACCTGCAGTTCGAGCGCTTCTTGCTGGCTTCGGGGGAGAACATGCCGCAGGTGGCCGATGGCTCCATGGACGTGGTGGTCTGCACGCTGGTGCTGTGCTCCGTGGAGAGCCAGGAGCGGATCCTCCAGGAGGTGCGCAGAGTGCTGAGGCCGGTGAGTGAGGGGTTGTGAGGAGGGCGAGTTAGTAGTAACCACTGTCACCAAGGGCAGTTTTGTCAATTTCAGGTGTCTCAGACATTCAAACATAAAAAGTAAAACTGCTAGAGAAGGCACTGTTGAATTTTTAAAAATCTTAGAGTCAGAAAGAAGCTATAATGGGGCGCCTGGGTGGCTCAGTTGTTACGCGTCTGCCTTCGGCTCAGGTCATGATCCCAAGGTCCTGAGATCAAGCCCCACATCAGGCTCCCTGTTCGGTGGGAAGCCTGCTTCTCCCTCTCCCATCCCCCCTGCTTGTGTTCCCTCTCTCGCTGGGTCTCTGTCAAATAAATAAAATTTAAAAAAAAAAAGAAGCTATAAAGGGAAAGACTGATTCTGAATACATAAAATTTAAAAACTTATACAGAGAATAAAAAAAATACTATAAACAAAGTACCAAAACATAGAAGTAGTATTTGCCAGGGATGATAGACAAAAAGCTTAATTTCCTTCATTTTAAAAGACATTACAAATAAAGAAATCAATAGGATTTTTTTAAATGTGTTTTATTTTTTATTTTATTTTATTATTATTATTTTTTAATATTTTATTTATCTATTTGACACAGAGAGAGAGACATCAAGAGAGGGAACACAAGCAGGGGCAGAGAGAAAGGGAGAAGCAGGCTTCCCGCTGAGCAGGGAGCCCGATGCGGGGCCCGATCCCAGGACCCTGGGATCACGACCCGAGCCGAAGGCAGACGCTCAATGACTAAGCCACCCAGGCGCCCCTAGGATTTTTTTAAAAATAAGAAAAACACAAAAGAAAAATAGGCAAAGAGCAAGAACAGAAATATAAATAAAGATAACCAATTACGGGGGCACCTGGGTGACTCAGTGGGTTAAGGGCGGGACTCTTGATTTCTGTTGGGGTCCTAGTCTCAGGGTAGTGGGATTGAGCCCTGCCTCGGGCTCGAGCTGGGTGTGGAGCCTGCTTGGGATTCCCTCCCTCTCTCTCTGCCCCTCCCCCACTTTCTCCCTCCCCCTCTTAAAAAAAAGGCAATTACATGATGAAAATGCTCAACCTTACGCACAAAGAAACTAAAGCAAGATACCATTTTTACCTATGATACTGTCAGAGGCTTTTAAGGTCAATATGGTATTGGGATTTGCTTGGGAGGCAGGATACCTCCATAACATTGGAGGAAGTGCCCTCTTTGGAGGGTAATTTTGATAATATTCAAAACTTAAAGTGCACATAGTCTTTTATCCAGTAGTAATTTATCCTATAGCTATACTGCACAAATATGCAAAAACTTGTCTATATGCAAAGACATTCATTGGAGTATTTGTAATAGCACAGATTGGAATTATCCTAAGTGTCCATCAATAGGAGGCTGTTCAGGATGCCTTGGTGGCTCAGTCGGTTAAGCCTCTGCCTTCGACTCAGGTCATGATCCCAGGGTGCTGGGATCGAGTCCTACATCGGGCTCCTTGCTCAGCAAGGAGCCTACTTCTCCCTCTGCCTGCAGCTCCCCCTGCTTGTGCTTGCGCTCTCTCTGACAAATAAATAAAATCTTAAAAAAAAGGCTGTTCAAGTAAATTGTCTGTCACATAGTATAAAAGAATTCTGTGCATCTGTTAAAAAGAACAAGAGTTATCTATGTTAATATGAAAAAATACCCAAGAGATAACGTTAAATGAAAAAAAGGAATCAAAGCATAGACTATTATGTAGAGTATGAGCCCATTGTGCAAGGGCTTATACACACACACACGTATGTACATACACATATGTGTATATGTTAATGGGAATGATAGATAAGAAACTTTTTTAAACATTTTTATTTATTTGTCAGAGAGACAGAGAGCACAAGCAGAGGGAACAGCAGAGGGAGAGGGAGAAGCAGGCTCCTCACTGAGCAAGGAGCCTGATTCGAGGCTCAATCCTAGGGCCCTGGGATTCATGACCTGAGCTGAAGGCAGACGCTCAATGACTGAGCCACCCAGGCATTCCAAGAAACTTTTTTTTTTTTTTTTAAGATTTATCCACCTACTTTTGGGAGCGAGCACACAGGGGAGGGGCAGAGGGAGAAAGAGAATCTCAAGCGGACTCCATGCTGAGCATGGAGCTGGACATGGGGCTGGATCCCACGAACCTGAGATCATGACCTGAGCCGAAATCAAGAGTCAGATGCTTAACCAACTGAGCCACCCAGCTGTCCTGAAATGTTCTGATTCTTATATCCAAATGCTGGGTTCTTGTGTCCTAAGACTGGGCAGTAAATGGGCAAGGCTAGTAAGTGTTTTGCTTACAGCATTACCCCTACAAAGCAAGTAATGATTACCTCCATTTTCTAGCACTCTTAATGAGATCGCATTCTTGGTAGTCTTCCTTAGCTCCTGTGAAGCACCCACTCTCTGCTAAATATAACCAGGAGCTTTATTACAGTGTCATTTAACCCTCACAATAGTCCTTTATAGCAGATATTGTCTTCATGGTGTGTTGAGGAAACAGAGGTTAAGAAACTTACCCAGGGCGCCTGGGTGGCTCAGTTGGTTAAGCGACTGCCTTCGGCTCAGGTCATGATCCTGGAGTCCTGGGATCGAGTCCCACATCGGGCTCCCTGCTCGGCAGGGAGTCTGCTTCTCCCTCGGACCCTCCTTCCTCTCGTGCTCTCTCTCTCACTCTCTCTCGAATAAATAAAAAAATCTTAAAAAAAAAAAAAAAGAAACTTACCCAAAGTTACATAGATAGTAGGTCT